TTAATAATATCATCAGTTATTCCTTATACAGATCCATTAGGATGTTGAATGCTCCTTTAAAACTTTGTCATATTTGTCTCTAAAAGCCTTAAGGCCTAGATCAGTCTTGTATGTGACTAGAATATAGCTCTTATGTGCAGGGTTTTTGTTTTTGTTTTTTGTTTTCTTCTCTCTTGAGACAGGGTTTTGCAATGGTGCCCAGGCTGGAGTACAGTGGCACTGGGTGCAAGCCATCCTTCCACCTTAGCCTGCCTAGTAGCTGAGACTATAGGTGTGTGCTACCACACCTGCTAATTTTTGTTGAGACGGGGTTTTTACCATGTTGCCTAGGCTAGCTCAAACTCCTCAGCTCAAGTGATCCCCACCTCAGCATCTCAAAGTGTTGGGGTTATAGGTGTGAGCCATTGCACCCAGGCAGGTCATTTTTTCCCTCTTTTGTTCACTGATTGGTATCTCCTCATCCTAGAGTGGCACCTGCCACATAGGAGGCATGCAGGTATTTGCTTAAATGAATGGCAAGTGAGTCTCAAAAATGTCTACTTGTCTTACTGTTTTGACACCTTGACCTGAAGAAATTAACCACAAATAATACAATTCCAGGTTTTCTTTATCGTCATGTAACTGCTTTTGTCTCTTATGACAAGAATGCTGAAGTCTCAAAGAGAAAGCTGTTTTGAATCCGTACTGCCAAAATAAATGGTCTGTCAAAACTGGCCCCTATTTTGTAAAATATTGGTAAGTGTAAGAAGTTGGCCGGGCACAGTGGCTCACACCTGTAATCTTAGCACTTTGGGAGGTCAGGAGTTCCAGACCAGCCTGGCCATAGTGGTAAAACCCCGTCTCTACTGAAAATACAAAAATTAGCCTCGCATGGTGGCATACACCTGTAATCCCAGCTACTCAGGAGGCAGAGGCAGGAGAGTTGGCTTGAACCTGGGAGGTGGTGGTTGCAGTGAGCTGAGATCATGTTATTGCACTGCAGCCTGGATGACAGAACAAGACTGTCTCAAAGAAAGAAAAAACAAGAAGCTAAAAGTGTTCAGTTACTTGAAGGAGCATTTGTGCAGCTAGCACCTGACAGCCACAGAGGGGAAGTTGCCTGTTACTGAGAACACACATTGCAAGATCCTTAGGATTACTTTCTTGCCTCCCCTTTTCTGTAGTCTCGATTCTGTTTTATTGATTTTAATGTCACCTTTGCAGTGAGCTACCTCACATATTTTTTGGAAAGTTTTATAGTTTGTGTAATACTTTATCTTCCAGAATTCACCCAGTAAGTATGAGTGCTTAAAACTAGGAATCAAACTTCGAGAGGCTGTTGCCTCATCTAGCACAAGTATTATGTCATAAGCTAGGCAGAAGCAGTATGGGGAAAGATCAACAATATCTTTTCTCTAAGGAGCAAGAAAGTGATACAGTGAAGAAAACTTCTAGACAAATTTATCTTGTTAGAATGATTGTTGCATTTTTTGTTGTTTTTTGAGATGAGGTCTCGCTCTGTGGCCCAGGCTGGAATGCAGTGGCGCCATCCCAGCTCACTGCAGCCTCCGCCTCCCAGGTCCAAGCAATTCTCCCTCCTGAGCCTCCCAAGTAGCTGGGATTACAGGGGTGCACCACCACATCCAGCTAATTTTTGCATTTTTAGCAGAGACGGGGTTTCACCGTGTTGGCCAGGCTGGTCTCGAACTCCTGACCTTAGGTGATCCACCCACCTTGACCTTTCAAAGTGTTGGGATTACAGGCATGAGCCATTGCGCCCAGCTTCTTATGGTCTATTTCTTGAAAAGAAAGTAACAGTGAAATGATTCACAATGTTACGCATTAGCATGGCTAACTCTATGAGGAATACTGAGGTTGAACAGTTCACATATAGGCTGGGCACAGTGGCTCATGCTCCATTTCTACTAAATGGGGCTCATACCCCATTTCTACTAAAAATGCAAAATTAGCCAGGTGTGGTGGCATGCACCTGTAATCCCAGCTACCAGGGAGGCTGGAGCAGGAGAAACACTTGAACCCGGGAGGCGGAGGTTGCAGTTAGCTGAGATTGCACCACTGCACTCCAGCCTGGGTGACAAGAGCAAAACTCACTAAAAAATAAAAATAAAAAAAAGTTCACAAATAAAACGTGTTTTAGGATATGCAAAGAAAAACAAGGGAATGGGAAACAGTCACCTCCTGGGGATCATGATGGGAGAAGGAGGAGCATACAGAATCTCAACAGAATTGTTGACATCCTGTCTCTTGTATGTTAGGTTCATGTATTTTGGTAGGTGGTGGCTTCACATTTTTAGTATGTATCAGCTTCCACATATGCTACATGTATTATTTTGTACATTTTTAAAGTATATGATCTGATTTATATATAATTGTATCTGTATACACATTTCTATTTAAAAAGATTGCTGGTTAATAAGATTACATAAATGAGAATTTCAAAAAGTGCTACAGGAATCCATGAGTTGCACAGAGCCTGCATTTCCTAAGTACTCAAATGATGATGGGCTGATTAATTTTTTTTTTTTTTTTTTTTTTTTTTTTTTTTTTTTTTTGAGACAGTTTCGCTCTTGTTACCCAGGCTGGAGTGCAATGGCGCGATCTCGGCTCACCGCAACCTCTGCCTCCTGGGTTCAAGCAATTCTCCTGCCTCAACCTCCTGAGTAGCTGGGATTACAGGCAAGCGCCACCATGCCCAGCTAATTTTTTGTATTTTTAGTAGAGACGGGGTTTCACCATGTTGACCAGGACAGTCTCGATCTCTCGACCTCGTGATCCACCCGCCTCAGCCTCCCAAAGTGCTGGGATTACAGGCTTGAGCCACCGCGCCCGGCGGGCTGATTAATTTAAGCAGGATCTTAAAGGATGGGGACCAGACAGAAAATTTAAATGAGCACGATGAAAAGAACACACTCCAGTATGTATATGCAAGGTCAAAAGTGGAAAAGTTCAAAATATTCAGAGAAACACAAGTATGAGTAACTCAGAGTAAACGTTTCTTACTGGATAATAGTGGGGAGAGACATTTAGGAAAGGAGAGAGAGGAAAATAAAATGGGGCCAAACTGGAGGCACTGCAGGTCACAGTGCAGATGATCAAGTTATGGACAATCAGTGCTTTCCTCATGGGGGGAAAGCCATGCTTGAGCCCTCCTCATCCAATCCCAGGTCAAATGAAAGAGACAAGAAGGAAACTACCACCACCTACTATGGACCAGTGCACTGCTAGTTTGCTCACAGTGTGGAATTTGCCCCAGACGCTTTTACAGAGTAGGTGGTATCACCCTACTTTGACATTTAGTGAGATGTGCTGGGGATAAATGATTTGACCACATTCATACAGCTAGTAAAGTGGTAGTGCCTGAATTCAAACCAAGTGTATTTATTCTAAAATATATTCACTTTTCTCCATACACCAATAGTTTAAAACAACAAAAACCTCAGGAATGAGAACACTCAAGAAGGCCTAGTTGGTAGTAACACTTTATTTGAAGTCAAAACTTAAGCAGTTAAGCTGCTGCTTCCCTAATGAACATTTATGTGTATTTGCTGACTTTTATATGCCAAATTTACATTTCCTTTGTGAAGATTTTGGGAACCTTCTTGTAACTATACTTTCTGCATTATACAGGCACATGCATTTTCCTCATGGCACAACTCAGCATGCCTTGTATTTTAGTTTGTGTCCCTATCAGTCTAGCTTGGAAGTTCTAGAAGGGTAAGGCCATGTTGTCTACGTCATTGTGGTACTTTGCATGCCTTCCACTTTGTGTTTTCCGTGTAGTGGACATTCATTGTTCAGTCAGTATTTTACACTCAAGGTTGGATATTAATCATCACAGGAGACACCAATACCTTGCAAAAACGAGGGGGAGGAGGCTGGGCGCGGTGACTCACGCCTGTAATCCTAGCATTTTGGGAGGCCGAGGCGAGATCACCTGAGGTCAGGAGTTCGAGACCAGTGTGGCCAACATAGTAAAACCCTGTCTCTATTTTTAAAAAGAAAAAATTGTTTATTTAAAAAAAAAAAAAAGTAATCGTATTAGCCAAAAAATCTGGAAGCAGTCCAAATATCGAAGTGACAAATGGTCCATCCACTCTGGAATATTAGGCAGTCATTGAAAATGTTTAGAAAGACTAGCAGCATGAAAAAAGCTGTGATATGGAGACTTAAAAAAAAAAAAAAAAAGCAAAGATTACACTGGGTGTGGTGGTTTAGGATCGTAATCCCAGTGGGAGAATCGCCTGCGTCCAGTTCAAGGCCAGCCTGGGCCACATAGTAGGACTCCGCTCTACAAGGAATGTTTAAAAATTAGCAGGGCGTGGCGGCATCTGGAGTCTCAGCTACTTGGGAGGCGGAGGTTGTAGTGAGCCGAGATGGCGCCATTGCTCCAGCCTGGGCGACAGAGCGAGCCTGTCTCAGAAAAAAAAAAAAGCCGGGTATGCATTAGAAGCGACTCGAGGAAAGGATGGGGGCATCAAAAAGCCGTGAAGAATTCTCAATGCAACATGCATGTATTAAGCACCTACTTCGCCAAAAGCTAGGACGAAGCCAGGAAGATTCCTGCTGCAGATTCCGCGACCGCAGAGTGGCCCGTTCGCAGGAAGCCGCCGCAGTCACACGCCGTGCTTGCCTCCGTTCCGTCGGCCTCTTCGGAGTAACCCCCGGCACCGCGCTGTGCCCGCGCGTACCGGGCAGGGAGGGAAAGCCGCAGCCCAGCGTCTCGTCGGAGGGAAGTCAACGGCCCCAACGCGAGCCTGACTGCGAGACGTGCCCCCGGGGAGGAGGTCGAATGAGCAGGGAGTGGAGTTTTGCGCGGGCGGGTGGACGGGCTAACGGCGGAGGGCGGCCCGCGGCCGAGGCTGGGGCGGGCGACGGGTAGGGCCGCGGTTCGCCGACGAGCGCTCCCGGGCAGGCCCCGCCCCCTCGCCCGGCTCTGCGCGCTGATTGGCCCCCGCCGCCCTCGTGCTCCCGCGCTCCGGGTTGGCGGGAGGTCTTCGAGCGGGTCCCGCTGCCGGCCGGCGACCGTCGAGCAACCAACCGTCTGAGGCCCGGAGCGCTCCGGCGGAGGCTGACCGCCGCGGCCCGGCCCACTGCTGCGCAGCCCGGGGCTCACTCAGGTACCTGTGCTCGCCCCGGGACGGGCCTCGCAGGCGAATCTCTGTTTCCGAGTGTGCCAGGTCCCTGAGCTCGCTCTCGCCGCCGACCCCACCGCCCGCCGTGGGTGAGAAGGCGGCCCCCGGCCCCGTCCTCACGCCGCCTCCCGGGGGCGCCCTCGTCGGCCTTCGCGGTTGTCACGCACGCGCTGCCCGCGGCGGGCTCTGGCCAGGGCGGCAGCGGCCGCGCAGGCTGCGGCGTCGACTTTCCTCCGCCTGGCGGCGCCGCTCGTGGGGTTGCAGGGGGAGGACGGGCAGGGCCGAGCCCCGAGGCTGCTCCCGGAGCTGGCTGCCTGCCCCGAGGGAGGGCCCCGGGCGGGCGCTGCCGCCTCCACGTGGGGGGAATGGAAGTTTGCGGGCGTTTTTCATGAATCCTGCCTCCTTGGGTCCCGTTAAACCCCCGCCCAGAATCTTGAGATCTGAGCTGCTGTGTCAGTGTCGGGCCCTTAGCCCGTGTCTCGGAATTCATGATTCTCTTACCTGACATCCGCCGCGAGCTTTTAAAAAGCCTTAGGTCGAGGCGGGCGGATGGCTTGAGGCCAGGAACAAAAAAACCCGTCTCTACCAGAAATCGCGTTTGAAAAGTCAGCCGGGTGTGGTGGCGCGCACCTGCACTCTCGGCAGCTCCGGAGGCTGAGGCAGGAGAATCGCTGGAACCCGGGGGGCAGAGGTTGCCGTGAGCCAAGGTCGTGCCGCTGGACTCCAGCCTGGGCCACAGAGCAAAGCTCCCATCTCAAAAAAACAAAATAGAATGAAATTAGCCGGGCACGGTGGCCCGCACCTGTGGTCCCCACGACTCGGGAGGCTGAGGCGGGAGGACCGCCTGAGCCCAGGCGGCGGAGGCTGCAGTAGGCTGTGTCGTCACCGCTGCACCTCAGCCTGGGCGACAGAGCGCAGCCCCGTCAGTCAGTCCCTCAAAGGCTAATAAGCCCATGCTCTGCAGACATTGAGATCGTACCTATTTACAAATTCTATTACGTTTTAAATACAGCATCTCTGTTATCAATAAAATTTCAACATTTGAATTACATTTGCAGCCAGCTTGGCTCACCGCCTGTAATCCCAGCACTTTGGGAGTCCAAGATGGAAGGATCATGAGGTCGGGAGTTTGAGACCAGCCTGACCAACATGGTGAAACCCCATCTCTATTAAAAATACAAAAATGACCCAGGTGTGGTCAAGGCTGGATATTAGTCATCACAGGAAACTCGGGATGTAATCCCCGCTACTCAGGAGGCTGAGGCAGGAGAATCTCTTGAGCCCAGGAGGCGGAGGTTGTGCCACTGCACTCCAGCCTGGGCAACAGAGGGAGACTTCGTCTCAAAAAAATAATTGAAAAAAAAAAAAAGAGAAAAAAAGAATTTGCCTGACGTAGTGGCACTTGCCTGTAATCCCAGCTATTTGGGAGGCTGAGGCAGGAGAATCGCTTGAACCCAGGAGGGTGAGGTTGCAGTGAGCCGATACCGCATCACTGCACTCCAGCCTGGGTGACAGAACAAGACTGCATCTCAAAAAAAAAAAAAAAAAAAAAAAAAAAAAATATATATATATATATATATATATATATATATATGTAGCCTTACAGCTAGGGTTAGCTGGTTTTGTTTCCTTGGCAAAGTAACAGACTAAGTAAAATTTGATTGCTTACTATGTGTCGTGTTTTACATGTGATTTCATTTAATATTTAAAACTTATTTAGTGGTTAAAGAATATGGGACTTTGATATCAGTTCTGCATTCAAATTCTAGCTTTATCACTTACTAATTATGTATGAGCCTTTGGGCAAATGTCTTAACTTCTCTAAGCCTCAAATTTCTCATCTAGAAAATAAGGATAGAATAATACCTACCACATAGAGATGTTTTGAGAATTAAATGAGATAATACATGTAACATATTCAAGAGTGTCGGGTACATACTCTCAGTGTACGACTGCACTCATAAGGAAGTTAAAGCTTACCTGCCTGTCCTGACTGAGTTGCCAATGGATATTGCTAGTAGGTTTTTCATATAGGCAAATGAATCCCCAAACAACTTCTGTTTGTTTCATTTTATGGCTGTGAACCACCACCCTTTATATTAACCCCAAGAGAAGAGATTATTTCAGATGCCTCTAGAATTTTTATGATTCACTTACCAAAAAAAAAAAAGAGAGAGAGAGAAGGGGGCCGGGCGCGGTGGCTCACGCCTGTAATCCCAGCACTTTGGGAGACTGAGGTGGGTGGATCACGAGGTCAAGAGATCGAGACCATCCCGGTCAACATGGTGAAACCCCATCTCTACTAAAAATACAAAAAATTAGCTGAGCATGGTGGTGCGTGCCTGTAATCCCAGCTACTCAGGAGGCTGAGGCAGGAGAATTGCCTGAACCCAGGAGGCGGAGGTTGCGGTGAGCCGAGATCGCGCCATTGCACTCCAGCCTGGGTAACAAGAGCGAAACTCCGTCTGGGGGTGGTTGGGGGGGGGGGAAGAGAAGGAAAAAATCCAGACATCCTATTCAAGTATGAATTCTGGCATGATTTTTTTTTAATGTTCATGGAATCCATATAAAAATTCATTAAAGGAGGCCAAGTGCAGTAGCTCATGCCCGTAATCCCAGCACTTTTGGGAGGTCTAGCACAGTTTTTTGTTACTTTAGATGAATATGCTTACATACAAATCTCAATTCTGATACTAATTTTTCAATGGTAAAAGTGAAATCCAGTCCTATATAAAAAATAGAAACAAAACCCCGTCTCTACTAAAAATATAAAAATTAGCCAGGCATGATGGCAGGTGCCTGTAGTCCCAGCTATTCAGGAGGCTAAGGCTGGAGGATCGCTTGAACCCAGGAGGCGGAGGTTGCAATGAGACTGTGCCATTGCACTCCAGCCTGGGCAACAAGAGCGAAACTCCATCTCAAAAAAAAAAAAAAAAAAAAAAAAAAGATTTTACTGGTGAGCATAGTTTCTCCTACTTGTTTCCGCATCTCCTGCTCTAAAATGGCTTGTATTTTGATTTTCATTTTTTTCCTCTTGCTATCAGAACTCTCATTCTCTTAGTGTATCTAAATGAAGAGCAAAATTAAAAGATATCCCTAGCAGCTTGCAGAACTGTGAGCTAATTAAATCTCTTGTCTTATAAATAAATAAAAAAGAAAGAAAGAAAAGATACCCCTAGGTAGAACTTGACCAAGACTGTAGCATTGATAGCTTCTCTCCTTCAGCTTGTTCTACACAGCTTTCCTGCCAGTATTTGCTTATTAACATCAATGAATTTCTACTTGGAGAATTTCAGACATTTTCTTCTCATTCAGTTTTCTGAAATTTTATATGAAATATCCCAACACATACACAAGGGTTTAGTGGAATAAAAACGCTTGCTATGGACATATTTTACCTTTTTGATTGATAGAAAATTTGCATTATAATTTATGATATAACCATGGTGGTTTTAATATAAAAGCACTATTTTAGGTTACCATTGAATAAAACCTCCTGGAAAATGTGCCACAGTTATTTGTGTTCTGGTACATTCCACCCGAGTCTAGCCCCAACACTCAAATTTGAAGCAGAATTCTTAGTCACGGTACCACTGATAACTCCACCCTAAAATTTGAGAAGCCTGACTACTATTTAGTTTTTTCTATCTAGACTTAAGGCTGCTCTTACTTTGAAAAAAGATGTGCAGATGAGGCCTCCAGCTGTTTTCCAGATGAGATGGGCAGAAAAGAGCAGAAAATTCTTAAGTCTCAGGGCTCAGTTTATCACCTATTCCTCTTTCTATGAAGTTTATATCCCACACCCCAAGTACATAATTGCCTTCAATTTGGCAGAACCTTAGGATCTAGGAAGAAAGATGGGATGAGAGGAACAATTAGGTAAGTATAATTTTCTCTGCCTAGTTCTTCAAAATGTAGCCCTGTACTATCTACAAAAAATAATTTTAAAATAATTTTTTTAAAAAACATGGTAGCCACTTGGGGGTATTAAACACTTGAAACTGAATAATTTAATTTTTACTTTAAATCTGAAAACTGAAGGAACATTTTTTTCTTACAAATTATTTTTTAAATAGGACTGGATTTCACTTTTACTGTTGAAAAATTAGGGTCAGAATTGAGATTTGTATGTAAGCATATTCATCTAACAAAAAAAAGAAAAAAGAATTGCTATATGCTGTAAATGGAAAATACATAGCAGATTTGAAAGACTTAGGATGTGAACTATCTCGTTGATTTTTTTTTTTTTTTTGAGATGGAGTCTTGCTCTGTTGCCTAGGCTGGAGTGCAGTGGTGCGATCTTGGCTCACTGCAACCTCAAGCAATTCTCCTACCTCAGCCTCCCAAGTAGCTGAGACTTCAGGCGCTCACCACTAAAACTGGCTAATTTTTGTATCTTTAGTAGAGACGGGATTTTGCCATGTTGGCCAGGCTGGTCTCGGAACTCCTGACCTCATGATCCGCCCACCTTGGCCTCCCCAAGTGCTGGGATTACAGGCGTGAGCCACCACGTCCGGCCTCTCATTGATTTTTATATTGATTACTTGTTAAAATGGTATTTTGGACATATTGGATTACATAAACTATATTATTAAAAGTAATTTTATCTGTTTTGTAAGGTGGCTCTAAAAATACAAAATTACATCTGTGGCTTGCATTGTATTGGATAGTGCTGCTCTAGCCTCACTATATCCAATCTTATTTTCCAGTCCTTCCTTTAACAGGGAAATTTCTAAGAGTCAGGAAGGGGAATCTGTATCTCACTCCTTGAGCACCAAGGGAAGTATGGCTGTCTGAGCCACTGTGAGATTGCATTCAGAGGTTCTCAATAGGGTCCTAGAGTACTTTCCTGTGTTGCTTATTCATACCTCCATTTCCCATTATGCTAGAAATATTTGACCACAAAAATAATACTAACTGTAGTAATTATGTGAACTAATTACCAACAAAGAAGGTGATGATTATATATATTGTTAAATATTGATAGATTAACTTTGTCTCAAAAAAAATTTTTTTTGAGATGGAGTCTCCCTCTGTCGCCAGGCTGGAGTGCAGTGGCCCCAGGTTCGGCTCACTGACACCTCCAACCCCCTGGTTCAAACGCTTCTGCCTCAGCCTCCCAAGTAGCTGGGATTACAGGTATATGCCACCACACCTGGCTAAGTTTTCTATTTGTTTTTTAAGGAGAGACGGGATTTAACCATGTTGGCCAGAATGATCTCTATCTTCTGACCTCATGATCCACCCACCTCAGCTTCCCGAAGTACTGGGATTACAGGCGTGCTCAACCATGCACAGCCATGTCTCAACTGTTATTAGATTATAACAACATTCATTCATATACACTTATAATCAGTCACTCAAATAGCTTTGTCATACTCTTACTTTAGACCAGGGAAGGCATGGTGGCTCAAGCCTGTAATTCCTGCACTTTGGGAGGCTGAGGCAAGAGGATTGCTTGAGCCCAGCAGTTTGAGACCAGCCTCTGCAACATAGTGAGACCTCATCTCTACAAAAACATTAAAAAATTAGCCAGGTGTGGTGGCACACACCTGTGGTCCCAGCTACCAGGAAGCCTGAGGTGGGAGGATCACTTGAGCCCAGGAGGTTGAGGCTGCAGTGAGCTGTAATCATGTGAGCATACTCCAGTCTGGGTGACAGAGCAGGACCCTGTCTCAAACACACACACACACACACACACACACACACACACACACACACACACGAAAAAAAGGAAAAGAAGAAAACAAGTCAATACGTAAAATAAAAATTAGACCAATTTATGAAAAGCCTTCAAAGCACGTCTGTATTTTTTGCTAGAATTGATTTCAACTTTTCAATAAATACCAAAAAATGCTTATTGAATAGGTGCATCTTATAATATATCAAGGAGTTTACCAATAAGGAGATATGGGGTTTTTGTGTGTAGGGGGGTGCTTTGTAATATAATCCTTGATAATAAGTTCTGGAAATAGTTTTCATATATATATAATTTTAATAGAGACGGGGTTTCATCATGTTGGCCAGGATGGTCTCGATCTCTTGACCTCATGATCTGACCACCTTGTCCTCCCAAAGTGCTGGGATTACAGGCGTGAGCCACCGGCCTAGTTTTCCTTGTTTATAAAAAATTTGAGGTAGTATATAACAACCTTATGATAAAATTATGTCAATTCAAACAGAATAGAAAATATTAGCAGGAAAAAAAAAACCCACAAATAAATTATAAAGTCAGCATCATTTCTATAATTAACTTTCAATTTCGTCTTGAGTTCTGCAGCCAAAGCAAAATGGCATACAGTATCTTATTATTTAGGAAGAGGATGTATATTTGTTACTCAAAGGAAGCATGGCTTTTCCTAGCACTGAATTTCAAAAGCAATTTTTATGGGGGTCACTGTCACAAACTAACATTTTAATGGCAAGTTTAGTAACATTTTATATGACTTCATATGGTAGTATCATCCAGTTGTTTTATATAAAATGTATGCATGTGATGAATAATTGTATGTTTTATTTTTACAGGAATATTGGAAAACCAAAATGAGGCACAATCAGATGTGTTGTGAGACACCACCTACCGTCACTGTTTATGTAAAATCAGGGTCAAATAGATCACATCCGCCTAAAAAGGCTGCTACTCTGAAGCGTCCTATTTTTAAAGATAATTGGCAAGCATCTGATAAAAATACACATAATAACAACAAATCTAAACGCCCCAAAGGACCTTGTCTGGTTATACAGCGTCAGGAAATGACTGCTTTCTTTAAATTATTTGGTAGGTTTAAAATATTTTAATAGCGGTAATTGTAAAGAACTAAAAACCTAGAATGTAAACATCTAATTGTTTTCACACTGATCAAAGAGGATATCATTATTTTTGTATTAAATTTCCCATCTCCAACCAAATTAGTTTTTGTTTTACTTAATCTTTTTTTGTTTTTAATATTGGGTTTTTGTTTGTTTTGCTTCCTTATGGATTAAAAATTCATATTCATCTAGCTTCTAGACTACTTAAATCCATATGCCAAATGAAAATTCTGGACAATTCAACTTCACAGCCCATGGTATGAGGTTTGTTTGACCTAAAGTAAAATACTACATAAAGACAGGTGAGCTAACCGACCCAGTTTGACTGAGCCTAAGGGGTTTCTCAGGACTTTCTCTGCTAAACCCAAGAAAACTATGGATCTTGGTCACAGTAGAGAAGTTTTAGGATAACAGTTTGGGAACATTGTTAAAAATTATGCTTTATCATGTCCACATAATGAAATTAAGTTTGAATTTGTTTCGGTTATGAGACAGTGCTACTTTACTGATACATTTTGTAACATTGGCAAAAAGAAACTTCTTTATAGTACTGTACTCCTAACAAAGAGAGGATTTTTTTTTTTTTTGAAGTAGGGCAATAAGGTAAACAGATTAGAAAAAGGGGTAGGATAGATGAGTTCTGAAAAGTAGTTGGAGTCATGAATCAAGCCAAGTAAATGCTACAGTCTGGTAGATCTAGGTAACAAGCTTCCTTGTTTCTAGAGGAAGGTCAGATGCATTAAAACAACCTAGTTACGATTTAAAGAAAAGCAAAATGAAAAAATGAGATTGAACAAAAAAAGATGAAAAAGGAAAAATATAAGGAATATAAGTAGAAAAAGATATAAAGATGCTTCCCCATCAGGATTTAAAATGTTAATAAAAGTTCTCCTTTTCATTAAGAGCAGAACAAAATTACTACCTGCAAACTCTTTTAGTACCCAGAACTCATCATGAGATACAAGGGAAAATACCTGGCTGTACCATTTTAGATAACTTAAGAAATATAAACAGAATTACTAGACCAGGCGAGGTGGCTCATGCCTGTAATCCCAGCACTTTGGGAGGCCAAGGGGGGCGGATCACTTGAGGCCAAGAGTTTGAGACTAGTGTGGCCAACATGGTGAAACCCCATCAGCCATGGTGGCACATGCCTGTAATCCCAGCTACCTGGGAGGGAGGCAAGATAATCACCTGAACCCAGGAGGTGGAGGCTGCAGTTGAGCCGAGATCATGCAACTGCATTCCAGCCTGGGCAACATAGCAAGATTCCTTCTCAAAAAAGAAAAAGAAAAGAAAATGCCAGGTGTGGTGGCTGATACCTGTAGCTCTTTGAGAGGCCAAGGCAGGTGAATTACTTGAGCTTAAGAGTTTGAGATCAGCCTGGGTCAAAGTGGTGAAACCTCTTAACAATACAAAAAAAAGTTATCTGGGCATGGTGGTGTGCACCTGTAATCCCAGCTATTTGGGGGGCTGAGATGGGAGGATCTCTTGACCCAAGAGGTTGAGGCTACAGGTGAGTCAACATCATGCCACTGCACCCCAGCCTGGTTGACAAAGTGAGGCCCTGTTTAAAAAAGGAAAAAAGATTAACGAGGCAGAAATTATTATTCTCGGGAAATCGGTAGTTATTCTTGGAACTTTCCATGTATTTGACAAAACTGATGATAGTTTAGTATACACAAATGAATAGAAGTTGTGCCTTTTTTCTTAAAATGAGGGAGAGGAGCCTGGCATGGCAGCATGTTCCTGTAGTTCCAGCTACTCAGGAGTCTGAAGCCAGAGGATCACTTTAGCCCAGGAGTTCAAGGCCAGCCTGGGCAACATAGTGAGACCTTGTGTCTTAAAAAAAAAAAAGAGAGAGAGAGGAGAGAGAGAGAGAGAAGGGTGGGAATGGAAAAAAAGCAGATTTTTCTAGATTACATTCTGACAACTATTAATATATTTTGAGATTATATAGTTTAGCCCTTTAAAATTGAAATAAATATTTTACCTACTTTCTAGATGTTATTACTTTAAACAATGTGTTTGTTGGTTATTTTATCCTAATAGTTTTTTTCAAAATGTTAATTATAAATAGGTAATGAATTATGAATCTTTTTTTTTTTTTTTTTTTTTTTTTTTGAGATGGAGTTTCGCTCTTGTTACCCAGGCTGGAGTGCAATGGCGCGATCTCGGCTCACGGCAACCTCCGCCTCCCGGGTTCAGGCAATTCTCCTGCCTCAGCCTCCTGAGTAGCTGGGATTACAGGCACGTGCCACCATGCCCAGCTAATTTTTTGTATTTTTAGTAGAGACGGGGTTTCACCATGTTGACCAGGATGGTCTCGATCTCTCGACCTCGTGATCCACCCGCCTCGGCCTCCCAAAGTGCTGGGATTACAAGCTTGAGCCAATGAATCATTTTTATATAGACATTTTCATATGTATTTGAGTAACAGAAAGTGGAATAGAGATAAATAGGAGAGAAGAATGCAAAACTAAAAATACTATTGGATATTCAGTAAACCAAACACTTCTACCATTCCCCTTCCAATCTGAGCCATATATTAAGGCAAATCAGATGGGATGATGAAGGAATAAGGCAGTAGTTTTTTGTACAATCCTTGCAATGGTAAATACACCCAAGAACTGAAAACTACACCTTAGGCAACCCTAGTTCATTCATTTTTGTTTTATTTCTAAGTACTGTGTATAATCTCTTAACATAGAAATTAATTCTTCAAAAGGAAACATTCTGTTTTTAAGAGACAAGTTATAGCTGTCTTTTGTTGTAGATGACGATTTAATTCAAGATTTCTTGTGGATGGACTGCTGCTGTAAAATTGCAGACAAGGTAAATTTTGTAACAACATAACCATTAACCAGCATTATAATGTAACTGAACCATTAGAGTTTCTTTTTTTCCCCCTGTGGTTTGTAACCATTAGAGCTTTAATGAGATCTTATAGGAATTTTCTATCTTACTAGTTATGGTTAAGAAAAGAGCTAGCAGCCAGGCGCAGCAGCTTACACCTGTAATCCCAACTTTGGGAGGCTGAGGTGAGCAGATCACTTGAAGCCAGGAGCTGGAGACCAGCCTGGGCAACATAGTGAGACCCCTATCTCTACAAAAAAAATTAAAAATTAATCGGGCGTGGTAGCATGCACCTGTAGTCCCAGCCACCCCGCTGAAGTAGGAGGATCACTTGAACCCAGGAGTTGGAGGATACAGTGAGCTATGATCGATTGTGCCACTGCATTCCAGCCTGGACAACTGGAATGCAAGACTCTGTCTCTAAATTAATTAAGTTAAAATTTAAAAAAGAGCAAGCCTGCACTGTTCCTTCAAAGCAGAATCCTTACACCTTAATTTCTGGAATTAGCATATAGCATAGATTCAGCCTATACTTGAGGAATTGTAGAATATTACTGATTACATTTAAATGACCTTAAATCTATATCTGATTAGAAAACAAAACAGGTGTGTTGGCTTACACCTGGATTTTCAACACTTTGGAAGGCCATGTCAAGAGGATCACTTAAGCCCAGGAGTTCCTAGGCTCGGCAACATAGGAAGACTTGCGCTCTATATATTTAAAAAAATAATAATAATAATAAGCTGGGCATGATAACTCATACCTGTAGTCCCAGTTACTTAGGAGGCTGAGGCAGGAGGATTGCTTGAGCCAGGGAGGTCAAGGCTGTAGTGAGCTGTGATACCACCACTGTACTCCAACCTGGGTGACAGAGCAAGACCCTGTCTCAGAAACAAACAAATAAAAACCAAAAAACCACAAACAAAAAATTACTACAGACTTAATACATTTTGAACAGTTATCACCTTTTATTAGGCTGTGTAGAAAAAATATTCTTGAGATTTACTTTACTAAGGCAGTCTGCATTTTAATATTTTGTAAGTAACTCAGAGAAAACAAATCTAAGTAATTTTGTAGGATAAAATTAGTTTAACATGTTCTTTAGGAATCAGTGTTTTGTTTTGTTTTGTTTTGTTTTTTTGAGACGGAGTTTCTCTCTTGTTGCCCAGGCTGGAGTGCAATGGCGCGATCTCGGCTCACCGCAACCTCCGCCTCCTGGGTTCAGGCAATTCTCCTGCCTCAGCCTCCTGAGTAGCTGGGATTACAGGCACACGCCACCATGCCCAGCTAATTTTTTGTATTTTTAGTAGAGACGGGGTTTCACCATGTTGACCAGGATGGTCTCGATCTCTTGACCTCGTGATCCACCCGCCTCAGCCTCCCAAAGTGCTGGGATTATAGGCTTGAGCCACCGCGCCCGACAGGAATCAGTGTTTTATAAAAGAATGTCTAACTTACACACTGGGAGCAGCACTGTTTTGTTGAATGGTTAAAATTTCAGCCTTGTGGCTCACACCTGTGATCCCAGTGCTTTGGGAGACTGAAGCGGGTGGATCACCTGAGGTCAGGAGTTCAGTACCAGCCTGACCAACATGGAAAAACCCCATGTCTACTAAAAAATACAAAAATTAGCTGGACTATGGTGGCCTGCACCCATAGTCCCAGCTACTCAGGAGGCTGAGACAAGAGAATTTCTTGATCCCAGGAGGGAGAGGTTGCAGTGAGCCAAGGCTGTGCCACTGGACTCCAGCCAAGGTGACAGAGCAAGACTCTGTCTCAAAAATAAATAAATAATGAAATAAAATTTCAGCTTTGTATTTTTCAATTTTTTTCTTTTAGAAAAAACTTTCTCATGCTATCTAGTCTAAGAATTTTCAGCTTTGTAAATGCTTTTTTATACCTGGCAGTCATATTTGAAAATTAAACGTGACTTTACATCACTGCTAGGCAACAGTAAAGGTAATGAATGGAAGGTTAGCTTATGATTATACTCACAAAGTTAGTACTGGGGTGAACATTTTTATTTAAGCCTAAGATGACAGGGATACACTAGAAGAAGGTTTATAAAGTTTTCTAAATTGCATTTTGGGAAATTTAAAACATACCCAATTTAAAGTAAATAGGATAGAGCAAAGAGCCTCCATATGCCTCTCATGTAGCTACAACAGATCATCAACTGTGACCATTCTTGTTTTTTTTCTGATGCTTCTCACCAAAAACTGGATTATTTTGAGGATGATCCCAGACTTTCTGACATTTTATTCATAAACATTTCATAATGTATCACTATAAGTTAAGGAATATTTAAAAACATTTCCAATGTCATGACACTTTTAAGAATTAACAGTAATGCTGTAATATCAAATATCCAATTCATGTGGAGTCATGGTTTTAAACTTTGTGGTTTTAAGGTGCATTAAAATTGCTGCACAGAAGGGGGCAGTGTTTGAAAAGTAACTAACCAGGAATATCTTAACACTCTTCCAAGAATCCTTTACTGAAGTTACTGTGAAAACTTGGTATCACCTTTGTGGCAAATCCTGTTACAATAGGATGAATAAATGTCTTATGAGAGATAATCTGATACATTATTATAACTTGTTTTTAATTTGGACAGAACCTGGCATATATCCTAATATTGGGCTAGAGATGTATCTCTCTTAATAATACATTTAAAACACAGTATGCTTATGAAAATAGAGCCTTGTTATTCTAATTTCTGAAGTCATTTCAAAGTCATTTTTAAAAGTTATTTTAAAAAATGAGTATGGATGTCTGCAACTAACTCAAAGGCCTTAGAAAAAATTATATATACACATACATATACACAAATAGAGGTATTAAACATGGCAAATTTGGTGGATCTAAGTGAGGATGCATGGCTATTCATTTTGCTGTTCAATTTCTCTATAGGTTTGAAATTTAAATTAGATAAAAGTGGGATTTTAGCTCAAAAAACTATTGGCTATAATAAAACTTAGGGGTCCATTCTAGTTAATAATGATATAAAAAATAGTCAAGAACTACTTTTCACTGTTCACATGGTGGATTACAGGAAGTCAAAATGTAAGTACACAATTATGTAATAAGTAACACTTTATTGTTTTAACGTATTCATCGGAACATTTTAAGTTAACTATTTTAAAGCAGTTTTATTTATGAAAGCAAAATATTAATTTTTAACTTTTTTCCTTATAGTATCTTTTGGCTATGACCTTTGTTTATTTCAAGAGGGCTAAATTTACTATAAGTGAGCATACCAGGATAAATTTCTTTATTGCTCTGTAAGTATACTTTATACTAAGTGATTTTTGTGTTATCTATTATATATATGACACCTTATTTAAAACAGGCTGTTTAAAACCTTATATATATATATATTTGAATAGTCCTGTATAAATGCTATACATTCTTTACTTTATTAGGATATTTTTATGCTTTTTTCACTTACTTTATCATGCTGTATGCCTAAGATTTCTTGTTCAGTATTCCACTTCAGTCTGTATTGGATGTTTTACATTTTCCAGAATGCTTCCATATAAAGTATCCCAAATTCTCCTCTTGTGACTTAGATATTTTTTAAAAACAGAATATTCTCTGAAATTTTCAATTAATATGTAGTAAAAATTACTATCATCATTCCCCTTTACATTGAACAACTTGTGGAAAATGCTCTAAACATAGTCTTTGTGGATCTATATCTACAACAGGCATTATCCATATTTGATGCCTTTAGTATTCACTGTCTTCTTTACTAAACACACTGAGCTGTGACAAAGGAATACAGTTTGTTTTCCATTTCTTCCATTGACTTTATATTTGTTTATATTATCATTGTAATCTGTGAAACGGTTTTCCAATCTATAGATCAGAATTTATTTAGAATCAGTATAATTTAAGAATATATTTCCGAGGCCGGGCGCGGTGGCTCAAGCTTGTAATCCCAGCACTTTGGGAGGCCGAGGCGGGTGGATCACAAGGTCGAAAGATCGAGACCATCCTGGTCAACATGGTGAAACCCCGTCTCTACTAAAAAAATACAAAAAATTAGCTGGGCATGGTGGCACGTGCCTGTAATCCCAGCTACTCAGGAGGCTGAGGCAGGAGAATTGCCTGAACCCAGGAGGCGGAGGTTGCGGTGAGCCGAGATCGCGCCATTGCACTCCAGCCTGGGTGACAAGAGCGAAACTCCGTCTCAAAAAAGGAAAAAAAAGAAAAGAAAAAAAGAATATATTTCTGGCCAGGTGTGGTGGCTCATACCTGTAATCCCAGCATTTTGGGAGTCTAAGGCGGGTGGATCATCGGAGGTTGGGAGTTCGATACCAGCCTGGCCAACATGGTAAAAGTTCGTCTCTACTAGAAATATAAAAATTAGCCAGGCATGGTGGGCACCTATAATCCCAGCTACTCGGGTGGCTGAGGCAGAAGAATTGTTTGAACCCAGGAGGTGAAGTTTGCAGTGAGCCAAAATCACACCACTGCTCTCCAGCCTGGGAGGTGAAGTGCGACTCCATTTCAGAAAAAAGTGTGCGTGTGTGTATATATGTATACACACACATACATATATATATTTGGATATAATGCTGCAGTTGGGAATGTGTGAATATATATTTATTTTTTTTATTTTTTTTTATTTATTTTATTTTATTTTATTTTTTGAGATGGAGTCTCACTCTGTCACCCAGGCTGGAGTGCAGTGGTGCAGTCTTGGCTCACTGCAACCTCCGCCTGCTTGGTTCAAGTGATTCTCCTGCCTCAGCCTCCCAAGTAGCTGGGATTACAGGAACCCGCTACCACACCAAACTAATGTTTTGAATTTTTAGTAGAGACTGGGTTTCACCATGTTGGCCAGGCTGATCTCGAACTCCTAACCTTGTGATCCACCTAGGCCTCCCAAAGTGCTGGGATTACAGGCATGAGCCACTGTGCCCGGCCGAAGATTAGGGACTTTCTAAGAGCAAACAAGTTACTAATCAGCAAAGCAGGGGCACAAACTCAGGAGTGGTTTATCAATGACCAAATTTAGCCATTGACCACTAAGTTAAATTGCTGTTTATATATCTCAGTATTGTATCTGTATGTTGATGCAATATTTATTTTGTAGTTTTTTCACCTGAGAATTAAACCAAAAGAAGCTTTAGTCTAAATCTTACTAGATGCCTGAAAATGAATTTGTTTTGTTTTGTAAAGTTATCAGTAGAGCACGAGTCAGTTTATGAAATATAATTATCTGTCAGATTTTATTGCATGTTGTATTATATAAGTTCCGTATTAAAAATAACATGTATTTTAAGTCTAATATACTTTTTGTATGGACTCAATAGTTCTCCTCATTAAATATTTCAGCCATAGTTCTAAAGCTCAAGTTCTTTCCTTTCTGTATATTCTTTTTTTTTTTGAAACAGTCGTGCTATGTTGCTCAGGCTGGACTGCAGTGGTGCAATCTCGGCTCACTACAACATCCATGCAGTTGAACTCAACTGCACATTCAAGTGATTCTCCTGCCTCAGCCTCCCAAGTAGCTGAGATTACAGGTGCATGCCACCACACCCAGCTAATTTTTTTTTTTTTTAATTTTTATTAGAGATGGGGTTTCACTATGTTAGCCAGGATGGTTTTGATCTCCTGACCTCATGGTCTGCCCACCTTGGCCTCCCAAAGTGCTGGTTTGATGGGTGTCAGCCACCGCGCCCATCCTCCTTTAGACTCTGAACTTCTATTATTATTATTCCACATTCCCTTTCAGAATTATTTGTTTCATATTTCTTGCCTTCTCTACTTAATTGTAGGCTCCTTATGGTCAAGGAACATAAAACTTGTTATTTCATCCTCCGATTACCAACATATGGGAGGTTCTTAATTTTTTTTTTTTTTTTTTGAGACAGGGTCTCACTCTGTCACCCAAGTTGGAGTGCAGTGGCATGATCTTGGCTCACTACAACCTCTGCCTCTAGGGTTCAGGTGATCTTCCTGCCTTTGCCTCCTGAGTAGCTTGACAACAGGCTCACACTACCACAGCTGGCTAATTTTTTTTTTTTTTTCTTGTAGAGATGAAGTTTTCCCATGTTGCTCAGGCTGGTCTGAAACTCCTGATTTCAAGCCATCTGCCCACCTCGGCTTCCCAAAGTGCTGGAATTACGGGCATGAGGCATACAGTTGGCCTTCTGGCTGCTTTTAAGACCTCTTTTTCTTTAGAGTTTGGCATTGGTTTCTTTTTAATAACCTGCTTGGGATTTGGTAAGCTTTCTGGATTTGAAGATTAAGGATGGATTTTTTTGTTTTTGTTTTTGTTTTGTTTTTGTTTGTTTGTTTGTTTGTTTTTGAGACAGAGTTTTGCTCGTTACCCACGCTGGAGTGCAATGGCGCGATCTCGGCTCACCGCAACCTCCGCCTCCTGGGTTCAGGCAATTCTCCTGCCTCAGCCTCCTGAGTAGCTGGGATTACAGGCACGCGCTACCATGCCCAGCTAATTTTTTGTATTTTTAGTAGAGACGGGGTTTCACCATGTTGACCACGTTGGTCTCGATCTCTTGACCTCGTGATCCACCTGCCTCGGCCTCCCAAAGTGCTGGGATTACAGGCTTGAGCCACCGCGCCCGGCCTGTTTTTTGTTTGTTTGTTTGTTTGTTTGTTTGTTTTTGTTTTGTTTTTTTTACTTTCTCTCTTTCTCTCCCTCTCTCTCTCTTTTTTTTTTTTTCTGGGACTCAGCTGAGGGCAGGGGGTGTTGCTGCCAACCGCACCAGCCTGAGCCCTTTTGGTTTTGTTTTCTGTTTGTTTTTTGAGACAGTCTTGCTCTGTCACCCAGGCTGGAGTGCAGTGGTGCCATCTCGGCTTACTGCAGCCTCTGCCTCTGGTTCAATTCTCCTGAGTAGCTGGGATTACAGGTACTAAAAATACAAAAATTAGCCACCATGCCCAGCTAATTTTTGTATTTTTAGTAGAGATGGGGTTTCACCATATTGGCCACGCTGGCCTTGAACTCCCGACCTCAGATGATCCACCCACCTCAGCCTCCCAAAGTGATGAGATTACAGGTATGAGCCACGGTGCCTGACCTGAAGATTGATGCCTTTCAATAGACAACTCAGAAAATTCTATCCACTGTCTTCAAATATTCCCCTTCCTCTGCTATCTCCTTTTGAAACCAGTTAAACTTGTTATGCCTCACTCAGTCTTCCATATCACTTACCTTTGATCTTTTCTTTTACTTTCTCTTTCTCTTCTCTCCCTCCCACCCTCCCTTCCTCCCTCACCTCACTTCTTTCTTTCTCCTTTCTTTCTTTCTCTTCTCTCTCTTCCTCCCTCACTCACTTCTTTCTTCTTTCTCTTTCTTTCATTCTTTCTCTCTCTTTATTTCTTTGAGTTTCACTGTAGGCTGGAGTGCTTCTTTTTCCCACCCTCCCTCCTCCCCTTCCCTTTCCCCTTCCCCTTCCCCTTCCCCTTCCTTCCTTCCTTTTTTTCCTTCTTTCCTTCCTTCCTCAGAGTCTCACTCTAGGCTGTAGTGCAGTGGTGTGATCTCAACTCACTGTAGTCTCCACCTCCCGGGATCAAGCAATCCTCCCACCTCAACCTCTCAAATAGCTGGGGCCACAGGCATGCACCACCACACCCAGCTAATTTTGTATTTTTTTGTAGAGACAGAATTTCTCCATGTTGCCCAGGCTGGGTCTCAAACTCTGAGCTCAACCAATGCACCTGCCTTGACCTCCTAAAGTGCTGGGATTACAGGCATGAGCTATCACCGCACCCATCCCCATCTTCGCTATTTTCTATCTATGTTTCTTTGGGCTGCATTTTGGATCATTTATTTAGATTTATCTTTCAGTTCACAAATTTTATCTTCATCTTATGTCTAATATGCTAGTTAATTTCATTATAAAATTTTCCATTTATAAAAGTTCTATTTTCTTATTTTTCAAATATACTTATCCATTTATCATATTATCAAGGTACTTTTCATTTTTTTACATATACTAGAGATAATTATTCTTATATTTTTGTGTCTATTCCAGTATCTGTTTGTGCTCTTGGTATCTTGTTCCCTTATGTGTTTTGTAATATTTTTATTGTAAGTTGACCACTTCTTTTGGAAAGTTATCTGTGGGATTTGTATTATTTGCAACGAGAACTCTAACCTATCCTTATTTTTTCTCTACTTTTAAGATTTACTCTTTATCACTGGTTTTGAGCAATTTGATTATGCTGTTTATTGGTTTAATTTTCTTCATGTTTCATGTGCTCCAAAGTTCATTAAACTTCTTTGTAGGTTTATAGTTTTTATTAAATTTTTAAAACTTTCAGCTGTTATTCCTTCAAATGTCTTCTCTCCACCTGATTTTCTGTCTGACCTTTTCAGATTACAGAGCATTGAAAGAGTCCTGCATTGTTATTGATACTGGCCGCCAGAGTCTCCAGTTCCACCTATTTATTGAAGTCCCACATAAAACTGATGCTGTTTATTAATTTAATTTAATTTCTTTTTCTTTTCTTTTTCTTTCTTTTTTTTTTTTTTTGAGACAGAGTCTCCCACTGTCGCCCAGGCTGGAGTGCAGTGGCACAACTCAGTGGTTCACTGCAACCTCTGCCTCCAAGTTCAAGCAATTCTCCTGCCTTAGCCTCCCAAGTAGCTGGGATTACAGGCACAGCCCATCATGCCCAGCTTATTTTTGTATTTTTAGTAGACATGGGGTTTCACCTTGTTGGCCAGGCAGGTCTTGAACTCCTGGCCTCAAGCAATCCGCCCACCTTGGCCTCCCAGAGTTCTGAGATTATAGGTGTGAGCCACAACTCCTGGCACTGATACTCTGTTTATGATTTTTGTTTCTCTTTATTCTGTGTATTTCATCTTGAATAGTTTCTGTTATGTCTTCAATTCACAGATGTTTTCTTTGTGGTATTTAATCTGCCATTCATCCCAATTAGTCTATTTTTCATTGTACACATTGTAGTTTTCATCTCTAGAAGTATAGTTTCAATATGTCTAAACTTTTTGAACATACAGAATAGTTATAGCAGTTTCAATGTCCTTATCTTTTACGTCAACCATGGGTATCAGTTTTGGGTTGATTTTTATTTCTTTTTTCTTTTCTTTTTTTCTTTTTTTTTATTTGAGACAGAGTCTTGCTCTGTTGCCCAGGCTGGAGTGCAATGGCACAGGTCTCGGCTCGGCTCAACGCAACCTCCACCTCTCAGGTTCAAGCGATTCTCCCACCTCAGCCTCCAGAGTACCTGGGACTACAGGTGTTTGCTACCATACCTGGCTATTTTTTGTGTGTGTTTTTAGTAGAGATGGGGTTTTACTATCTTGGCCAGGCTGATCTTGAACTCCTGGCCTCGTGATTCACCCGCCTCTTCTCCCAAAGTGCTGGGATTACAGGCAAGAGCCACTGTGCCTGGCCGATTTTGATTTCTTATTCTCCTTATGATGAGTCATGTTTTCCTGCTTCTGTGCATGGCTGGTCCCCCTCAAGTATTTAGCAGAATACTGAGTTTCATATGTGTATAAGAAAACTACCTGAATCTAGGGAAAGATGTTAAGAAAAGATTAGGAGAAAAGGTGCCTATCATTCACATAGGGCAGCAAATAGTGCCTGTTCTCCCCAGCCAGGCTGAAAAGATTTATAATTCATGGAGCATTGAAAAGATCTTGCCTCAGTAGTGAGGAATAACTAGTCCCAGACTGAACATTGCTCCAGATCCACCTAAAAATCATAAAAGCAACATCTGAAAGGATCAGATTATTTCAAAGTAACTGCACCCCAGAACAAAGCTCAAGATTTGTAGGAATAAGAAATACCTAGAACCCAACAAGATAAAATTAACTGTATCTCTATTTTTGAACTGCATTGCCTTAAGTGAGGCTGAACACCTTTCATGTGTTTTTATGTCTTTTTGTTAGTATAAATGACCTATTTCTGTCTTTTGGGTTGTGATCATCTTTGTTAGGTATCTGGCTAATACGGTTGAAGAAGATGAAGAAGAAACCAAGTATGAAATTTTTCCATGGGCTTTAGGGAAAAACTGGAGAAGATTGTTCCCTAATTTCTTAAAGTTAAGGGACCAGCTCTGGGATAGAATTGACTATAGGGCTATTGTAAGCAGACGATGCTGTGAGGAGGTAAGAATTTTAAAATGCTTTATATATGTAATCTTTGTTTTCTGTTTAACTAATTATCCTTGTTTTTTAATGTGCTTCTAATGTTTTGGTATTCTGTTTTTTGTTTGTTTGTTTTTGTATGCGTAGAGTAGACCATTGATCATTACCATGAATACAACTTGTGTATTACAATGTTGCTGTCTTATTATCACCATAATTAAAAAACTGTTGGCTGGGCTCAGTGGCTCACGCCTGTAATTCCAGCACTTTGGGAAGCTGAGGCAGGTGGATCTCCTGAGGTCAGGCAGGAGTTCAAAATCAGCCTGGCCAACATGGCAAAACCTCATCTCTACTAAAAATACAAAAATTAGCCAAGCATGGTGGCAGGTGCATGTAATCCCAGCTACCTGGGAGGCTGAGGCAGGAAAATCACTTGAACCCAGGAGGCAGACGTTGTAGTGAGCTGATATGGTGCCACTGCACTCTAGCCTGAGTGACAGAGTGAGACTTCATCTCCAAAACAAATAAAAAATTGTCGTTTCTATTTTTCAGAGCAGCCTATTTCTATAGTAAGTACTTTTACTGTATTTCTTCTGTCTATATCATCAATATATCAAAAAAGGGTGATATGAACAGACTAAAATATCTTATTTAGGATTACAATAACACTGAAGTTGAATAATAATTTCTGTTCAAAAAAGTTAGCAAAATTTCAGGTTCCCAAAATTGAAACACATATATTAAATGGTATACAATTTAGATATTTTTTTAAATCATAACTCTTTTTACATAGAATATATTGTTTTCTTGATGCCAAATCTTATTAGGACAAGGCCAGGAGCAGTGGCTCACACCTGCAATCCCAGCACTTTGGGAGGCCAAGGCAGCTGAATCACGAGGTCAGGAGTTTGAGACCAGCCTGGCCAACATGGCAAAACCCTTGTCTCAAAGAAAAAAAAAAAAAAAAGAAATCTTATGAGGACAAATCAGCAGGACACTAAAAATTTAACGGTTATTTTACCAAATATTCTGGTTTTCAATAAAGTCAGTATTTCAAACTACAGAAAAATTCTAGAGTAGAAAATTAAATGGAAAGCCGTGGCCACTGTAAGCTCTAGTATTAGTTCAGAAAAGTTTGATAAATGTGGGCTACTTGATGCACTTTGCAAATCTTAAGTTTTGATCAAATTAACTTATTCATTTATATATTGATTTAGTGAGTACTTAGTAAATATCTACTAGAAACTGTATTATTTCTTTTAATTTAAAAAGGGCAGCTGAGCATAGTAGCTCACACATGTAATCCCAGCACTTTTGGAGGCTAAGGTGTCTGGATCGCTTGAGTCCAGGAGTTCAAGACCAGCCTGGGTAACATGGTGAAACCCTGTCTCTACAAAAAATACAAAAAATTAGGTAGGGGTGGTGGTGCACACCTGTAGTTTCAGCTACTTGGGAGGCTGTGGTGGGATAATCACCTGAGTCCAGGAAGTTCAGGCTGCAGTGAGCTGTGATCATGCCACTGCACTCCAGCCTCTGCAATGGAGCAAGACCCTGTCCCTAAAAATAAAAAAAGGCTTGAAGCAAAAATAGAAATATTACATCTATTAATTCCAGGAAGTGGGAATATAGATGTTTATTATATTATTCCTAATGCTTTTCATAATTTTAAAATTTATCAACATTTTTTTCACACTGCTGCCACCCAAATTTATCAACATTTTAAAAAAGATTAATAGAACTTATTTTTCCTCTTCTAAAAGGTCACCTTATTTAAATGAATTTAGTCCCTTTATCCTTATCACAATACTTTGTTTCCTTCTGTATCACTGAACAAAATTTGTAATTATTTATTTGCCTGTCTATTGTCTAAACAATAAACTGCAAATGTAATGAAGTGAAACATCTAGTACACTTTTAATATCTCCCATCTCTGTCTTCACACTTAAATTACAACAATCATGCATTATTCTCTTTTACTGAGAAAACAGAAGCAGTAGAACAGACTTGTCAGTATGCTCACATTTTATCGTTTATTCTGCCTACATGCGTACCCATATATTCTGCCTGCCTTGTGTTACTGTGAAAGAATGATCTTTGTTCCTGTCCAAGTCTACTTGTGCACTAGATCTAATTTTTTCTTACCTTCTCAAGGACATCACATTCCAGTAATTGTCCCCTTTCCAGCATTTCACATTTTTTATTTTATTGGGTCACTGCCATCAGAATACAGAATTGCTCTAAGACGTCCATCAATAAAAACAACAAAAACTTTATCCCCCAGCTACCACTACATCTCTCTGCTTTGCTTCCCTCGTAACTAAACTCTTGGAAGAATTGCTTGTGTTCTATCTCTACTTCTGTTCTTTCTCTTCTCTTTGAACCTGTTATATAAAGTCTTTTTCCCATCATTCTGTAGAAACTCATCAGGGCAAACTCTATGTGGCCAAATCCAAAGGTTAATTATTAGTCCTCAATCTACTCAACTTAGCAGCATTTGACATTATCCCTCATTTCTTCCCGAAACACTGTCTCCACTAGGTTTTTAGGATACCAGGGTTTTTTTTTAAGTCACTTTTGCCAGTTCCTTTTCACCTCACCAACTTCATTAGAGTGCCCTTAGGCTCACACTTAGTATCTCTTCTCCTTTCTATTGGTATTAGCTTATTAGGTGACCTCATTCACTCTCAAGGCTTTAACACTAACAACTAATACTTTCTCGCAATTCCAGATCTGCATACTAAATGGCCTGATATTTTTTGTCTAATTGATATCTCAAACTTAACATGCCTAAAATTAAACTCCTGACTCCTTGACACCTCCACATCTGCTCCTTCTGCAGTCTTCCACATATTCATAAATAGCAACTCTATCCTTTTAGTTGCTCAGGCCAAAAAAGATACTATTTCCATTGACTTCTTTTTATTATATTCGTACCTTGAAAAATTATCCAGCATTCTACCATTTCTTACCACCTTCACTAGGCTACTGTACTTTTGTCACGTCTTGCCTCGATTATTGGCATAAATTTCCCAACAGTCTCTCCTACCTCCCATCTTTTTGTTTGTTTGTTTGTTTTTAATGTAGGGTCTGGCTGGGCGCAGTGGTTCACACTGGTAATCCCAGCACTTTGGGAGGCCTAAGTAGGTGGATCATGAGGTCAGGAGTTCAAGTCTAGCCTAACCAACATGGTGAAACCCCACCTCTACTAAAAATATAAAAATTAGCGAGATGTGGTGGTGTGCACCTGTAATCCCAGCTACTCAGGAGGCTGAGACAGGAGAATTGCTTGAACTCGGGAGGCGGAGGTTGCGGTGAGTTGAGATGGTGCCACTGCACTCCAGCCAGAGAAACAGAGCAAGACTCTTAAAAAAAAAAAAAGGATCTTACTTTGTTACCCAGGCTGGAGTGCAGTGGTGTGCTCATGGCACACTGCAGCCTCAACCTCCTAGGCTCAAACGATCCTCCTGTCTTAGCCTCCCAAGTAGCTGGGACTACAGGCATGTGCCACCATGCCTGGCTAATTTAATTTTGTAGAGATGGGGTCTCACTATGTTGCCCAGGCTGGTCTTGAACTCCTGTGCTCAAGCAATACTCCCAACTTGGCCTCCCAAAGTGCTGGGATTGCAGGTGTGAGCCACCATATGCAGTTATAATCTATTTTTCATACAGCAGCCAGAGTAACTTTTTTTTTAGATAAGTCAAATCATGACTCCTCTACTCAAAAGGCTCCAGTGGCTTCCAGCCTTACATAGGGTAAAAGACAAAGTCCTAGTCATGGTCCTACATGGCCTAACAGCCCTCCTCCCTTATCTCTTTGATCTCATCTCCTATCTTTGCTCTTCTACTCAAGCTACACTGGCCTCCTTACCTCAAAGATACCAGTTACACTCCTATCTCATGGTCTTTGCACTTACTATTCTCATAACCTGGAATGTTGTTCCCCAGATATCAGTATGCTTCACTTCCTAATTACATTCAGGATTCTGCTTAAGTGTCACCTCAGAGAGACCTTTCCTTATCACCTTATATAGAGTAGTATCTTTCTCCATGGAATAGACATGTCCAGAAATAAACCCTCAATTATGTTCAATTGAATTTTGACAAGGGTACTAAGAAAATTCAATGGGGAAAGTGTAGTCTTTTCAGCAAATGATGCTGGGAAAATTGGATTATCTACATGCAAAAGAATGAAGCTGAACCCCTGGTTTATACCACATATATAAAAATTAACTCAAAATGGATCAAAGACCTAAATGTAAAACTTAAAACCATAAAACTCTTAGAAGAGGCCAGGCACGGTGGCTCATGCCTGTAATCCCAGCACTTTGGGAGGCCAAGACAGGTGGATCGCAAGGTCAAGAGATCAAGACCATCCTGGCCAACATGGTGAAACCCTGTCTCTACTAAAAATACAAAAATTAGCTGGGTGTTGTGGTACATGCCTGGAGTCCCAGTTACTTGGGAGGCTGAGGCAGGTTCAATTGCTTGAACCCAGGAAGCGGAGGTTGCAGTGAGCCAAGATCCCGCCACTGCACTCCAGCCTGGCGCCTGGCGACAGAACGAGACTGTCTCAAACAAAACAAAACAAAACAAAACAAAACAAAACAACTCTTAGAAGAAAACATAGGAGTAAGTCTTCGTGACCTTGAATTAGATTTCTTAGATATGATACAAAAAGTAACAAGTAACAAAAGAAAATATAAAGTGGACATCATCAAAATTAAAACCTTTTGTCCTTCAAAGGATACCAAGTGAAGAGATGACCCACAAAATAAAAAATAAAAAAAAATTTGCAAGTCATCTATTTGATAAGAGTCTCGTATCTAGAAATATAAAGAGCTTTACCACTTAATAATAAAAAGGCAATCAATAAATGGGCAAAGAATCTGAGTAGACATTTGTCCAAAGAAGGTATACAGATTGCTAACACACACACACACGAAAAGATGTTCAACATCATTAGCCATTTCATGGATTACAAATCAAAAGCATGATGAGATATTACTTCACACCCACTATGA